TGAAATTGGCAGGAGGCAGGAGCTAAGCTAGTTGGTGAGCCAGCTCTAGAGCTGGCTAGCTCCACAGACTTTGTTTCCATAGTAACTTGTGCCATGGCTTAGCCCACACGCTCTGTGCAACCGAAATGGGGTTGAGATCAGGCTAATCCCGTGCTGATCCTGGGCTAATCCCTTATCCCGCCTTTGTGCAATAGGCCCTAGAGCATTATTCAGTATTTATTATTGCTGGAAATTTCTAAGGAGCGCATGCATGGGCGTAAAGTGAGAAGATGCTTTGGGTGGAAAAGAAACTTAAGGATCACAGCTTTATCGCATCAAAGTTTAGCATTCTCAAGGTTGACAAATGTCTTTATCAGCTGTTAGCCATCTCCATGTCAAAAGTTGTTCAGAAGGGTTTCACACAAAAGAGCAACTCTCAGAATGCAGTGCTTGAACGTTGCCAGGCATTGTATAGAGGTGGATTGTTACGTTTCAAAGAAAAACTGCAAAAACTACGCATCATCAAACTTGATTGTTTGTTAAACAACAACAGCAGCGCTACGCAAGCATGTACATAGAACATCATATCCTACCTTCTTTTACTAACTCCTATTTTCTATTCAATACCAGCTTGAGTGGCCTAAAGACAGGAATTCTGGGCATTGCGCCCTCCTAGTGGTTGGACATATTAAGAGCACCGATCACAATATCTCCTTTTCTTTAGTTATAAGCCATACGCAAACAAGGCATCTAGCAACTTCGAACTAACAAACTGTTGCAAATGCAGTAATGCAGTATTCTTTTCAAAAACATGCCTGAGCAACCTGTGCCTTTTTTTCTAAAAAGCCAAAACAACAATAAAACATTTTCTTTTTTATCCTGTTTTTTTAAAGCTCAGTTCTTCTTCTTTGAAAATTCAGTCTGTCAGGTTCTCAGACATTGTGTGTGGATCTTCTCAGCACTAGTAATGAGTCTTTGAATCTCTGGTCTGCTGTTATTCAGCACTGCTTGTATTTCAGCAGCGTGATCTTCTCTGCATCTAGTTTGCTATCCAGTCCGAGGGCTTGCACGTACACACACAGAACGTTGTTTTAACGTCTGCCGCTCACAAACTACATTCCCAGTCCGATTCACAGAGTCAGTAAGCTCCACACTTCCCATGACTTCTGTCTTTGGACCACTTCTGGTGCCATGTTATGTTTCCACTGAAAACGGAAAAAAATGGCTTCATCAAACTTGGTGGTTTATTAACATCGGCGGCAGAGCTAGGTAAGCATGTACATGCAGCATCACATCTTATTTTTCTTGGCAGACCCCTCTTGTCTGATCATGACAAACTAGTATGTTTAACAGATAGGAACCCTAGTTGTTGCTGCCACCTAGTGGTTGAATATATTAATAACTCCTATCGCAACAGTGGATCATTGACGCTTTGGGGCTGTAATGCTGCTATCGGACCAGGGGATCTTGTTGAGACTGGTGGTGCAATAAAGTCCGCAACGTATCAGGATATTTAGCCACACTCCTGATTTCACCACCAGGAAGTTGACACTTGTCTGCAGTTGGACCTTTCACCAAGATAGGACCCCAAACATTCATAAAAATAAAAAAGAAACTATTTTAGACTGAAAAATGAACAAGCTATTTCAGTATTCAGATCTTGAAATCCTGAAGTAGAAATTAAAAAGGGCAGTCAACGAAAACAAACCTGGGAACCTAGTGGCTCTTGAGACGTTCTAGATCGTGGAGTGATCCAAGATACTAGAAAAATTGGCCAACCATTTTGGACATTACAGGAAGAAATTCAGTGTAGCTATTCTCTCTAGGGGAGGTTCCGCCAGTCATCAAAGGGGTATCGATCATTTGGAAGCACATGTTTTAGAGATAAAATGTACAAATCAATCCAACTATATATCCTTTATTTTATTATTGTGTTAAAATAAATGTATATGACTTCCCTCAATGTCTGAGCCCAACAAAGGATTCACTGCGTTGTTTCTATAGTATTTTTGCTCATTTTCATCAGGGGTGCCGGTAAGCCTTGAGTGGTCTATAAGGTATGGTGATGACCTCTGGACGGCTCATCCAGCGAGAGCTCTTCTCTAATGTATCGTGGCACTGAGTCAGTCCTGGTATCTCCCAGGGAGGGTCTCAGGTGCTGTTGCCCCTGTGCTTTGATGATTGGACCTCCCCTTGTTTCCCATCATACCTTCTGTTTGCGCAGTTGGCACAGCTGCTGTGTGTCGCTCTCCCTCCCTCTCACCAGCCGGACCCTGAGCTCCTCGACCTCCTGCGCTGCCCTGCTTCTCTCCACCTGTTGACTGGCTATCAGGGCCCTCTCCCTCCCCCGACACTCCTCCAGCTGACCCCTAAGATCCCTCATCTCTCTCTGCAGACTTTCCTGCAGCGGAGGTAAAACACAACCATGCGGAGAGCACCAGCGAACTTCAGTGCTCTGCTATTACAACTCCTAATCAGGGGTATAAAGTCTAGCGCTCTTAGACCAAAAAAAAAATCCTGCTGTGTTTTTCACTGCCAGTAGCCTATGGGTTAAGATGCTTGACAAAGAACTATATAGGTGGTGGTTCAAGCCATAGGGTAGCCACAATAAGAGGTATATAGCTGTTGGGCCTTGTAAGTAATGCCCGTATGTTTACATTACTCCAGTGCTGATTTGCTACTGTATAGTCCAATCAAATGTTATTTACTTTGGATAAATTCATCATCTGAGGAACGGAGTTATCATTAACTTTGCCGGCTGATTTCACAAATAAATTGTGCCCTTTGAGTAATGACTAATTCGACAACTGCAACAAACTATTGGGGATGAGTGCTTTCTGAAGCTGTACTCTGCTGCTTTAAATGTTTTTTGTTTTGTGACTGAAATTGTCTGGTTGTGACTGAGGGATACCCCCGATATAATGTGATCACTGATCAGTGACAATCCTCATCACAGCTTCACGGCCAAAAATTAAAGTCTGATCATAAAAGTCTCTCATGACAATTCATACATGGCCGCCAGTGAACATTCCTTGTCTGATATTATTACTCTGGTTATAGCTTAAAGAAAATATATGCCTGTCTACAGTGCACTGGATTGAGGCCATGAAGGATACTACAGCCATAGATGTATCTGTAAATATTTAAGAATATTAAAAACACATCATAGCCTTTTTTAAACGTAAATGACAACAGAAATAATGCATTCCTTTTGGTCAGTGTGGATTTTACCTCATTTCAGCTCAAGCCCTCAAAGAAGAAGCTGTTCCTTGAAACAAAATGATGGCGAATTTGACAATGACAACATACCAATGCACAGGACTTAAGTAGTTCTTCCGAGAAATCTTTGTTATCAGATAATACTCTGGCCATTGTGGCTTTTAATACTGGTGTCAGCTCATTTTTTGCAAAATGTTTCTTAAATACTTCTTGCACGCAGGTCTTCAATTCATCTATCCATTACTAACACCACTACTTCCTCACTGAGGTCTGAGAGGAGCTGCAGCCCATCCCAGCTGAATACAGGCGAAAGGCAGAGAGAAAGTCTGGACAGCTCAGCAATCCATGGCTGTGCACACACACACTATTCACTCACACACTCATGCCTACAGGCAATTTACAGTCTCCAAATACCCCAACATGCATGTTTTTGCACTGGGGGAGGAAACCGGAGTTGACACGGGTGGTGGTAGGACCGAAATGCAATGCAATCAGACCAAGAGGAGATTTACTGGCTTTTAATGAGCTCAAGACAGGTGCACACAAAATGCAGAGCAGGATGCAGGCTGGAACCAGGAACTTGTGGATCCTGAATGGAGCTCTTCCAGCAACTCAGGGTAGTAGGCGCTGATGGCGGGATTGGAACACAGGCCTCCCTCATCGCAGGCGGGAGAGATACCACTGAGCCACTGGGGTAGGCAGGGGAGCAGCAAGCCGGATAGCTTGGACAGGGGTACGGGAGAAGGCAGACGGGAACCAGGAAGCACACAGGCAGAACTCTGAGTCAGAGGCAGAAGGCTATCAGGTTTACCGAGGCAGGAGCAAAGGGACGTCATCAGAGACAGGCAGAGTCCTTTCCAGGAAGGCAGATCAAAGACAAAGGCCGGAGAGTAGTGCATGCTGCAACGACAATCTGGCAAAGAGTGAGAGAAACAGAGCTGCTTAAATACTGGCTGGGTAACGAGACTCAGCTGAGAGCAATTGCAGTGGAAGGGGTGTGGCCAGGCAGAGGGAGAGACAGCAGCAGAGTAGACTGTGACAGGAGTACCCAAAGGAAACCCACGTGAACGCAGGGAGAACATGCAAACTCAAAAAAAAGGCCTCAGGCCGGATTTGAAACCATGACCCTCTTGCTGAGAGGCTGCAGTACTACCAACTGCACCACAGTGCTGTCCTCAAACAGAAATGAAGACACAAATTCTTGACCTCTCAAAATAAATATTTGGGATAGTTGCTGGAAAATGGCATTTGCTAAGTGTGCAATAGACAGCGATACACTGTTAAAAGTGACAGCAAAATAAAGAAGTAGAGTAAAAAATTAAATCTTGAAATGCCACTGGGAGCCCGATAAGCCCCCACTCCCCTCCTGAATAATGGCATCACTGCTGATTATCAATTCAGCAGAAGTAGTGTGCTCACTGATTTTGTGCAAGATGGTTTAGAAGATTCATGAAATCGCCTTGCGCTGCAGCCGAATGAGCTGTTTTAGGTGGGCATAACGAAACAGATCCTGACAGACCTCACAGACTCTGGGGATTACCAGGGGAGAGGAGGTAAAAGTGAAGACTGCAAGCCTGAGGGAATTCATTCATGGTTTTTCAGGTTACAACTGCAATATAGTAAATGGTAAATGGACTGCATTTATAAAGCACTTTCTAGTCACATGACATGACCCCAAAGCACTTCACAACTATGCCTCTCATTCACCCTGATGACGGGGGCTGCCATGCAAGGCGCTAGCCTGCACATCAGGAGCAGTGTGGGGTTCAGTGTCTTGCTCAAGGACACTTCGACACACTCTCTGGAGGAGCCGGGGATCGAACCAGGAGCCAGGAACCTTCTGATTCCTAGACCAACCGCTCTACCTCCTGAGCCATGCCGCCCCAATAGAAAGTTGAAGTGATTCACACTGTGAAAGACTTGATGCTGATTTATCAAAAGCCTTCACTAAAGAGTTCTTCTGAACTTACTTTTCACTTTTCACTGTACATTTGTGACACACACACACACGCGCGCGCGCAGACACTTGTGCACACACTCTCAATCTCTCTCCCCCCACAAACACCCCCACACATTCTCTTCGTCTGCACAGTCAAATGTTTCCCCTTCACACACACACACACACACACACACACACGCACACTCCCTCCCTCTCACACACACACACACACTTCCTCCCCCTCACAGCCACACACACACACTCCATCCCCCTCACACACACACACACACACACACTCTTACATGAACTCTCTCCCCCAACATACTCTCTCTCTCACTCTTTCCCTTTCCCTCCATCTCTCTCACACACATTTGTTTTATGTGTGTGTATGTACATATGTGTAATCTAAAATGGCAGCTGTCCTTGAAAAATAGACAAGTGAAACCAGCACTCAGGATTATGATCTGCATATTGTTACACGTAAATGGGTCAATATGGAGAAATCCCAAAGCATGCATCCTGTGCACATTGCCTATGCACACGGAATTATCTCTGGACTCTAATGCGGATTAATTTTTATATGTGACATTGGCTTATCAACTGAGTGTTGTGGATCTTTAGTACAGTAGTTCCCTGGTTTCAATTCTTAATGACAGTAAGTTTTTCAGCATTGCTGTCATTTGAAGAAATTCGAACTGACCCCGTCCTACACCTTTCACGACACACAGTTTCATGTTGCACATTATAACATTGTACAACAGAGCTCTGGAGGTGCGTCAAGGATTTATCATATTGATTTCCAATGTAAAGTTGTCACATGCACTTTAATTACACTGAACAAAAATATAAACGCCCCATGTCAAATTTTTATAAACAAAAAACTGGAACCGGGATTTGTCTGTGAATAGCACTCTTCTCCAGCGTGCCAAGGGCCATCGAACGTGTGCGTTTGCCTATGCGAGTCGGTTCCGACGCCGGACAGCGGTGAGATCCAGACCACGGTGAGGACGCCGAGCATGCAAGTTGGCTTCTCGCAGGCAGTTACGGACTGTCTGTGGTGTGATGCGTCTGTTATGCAGACCAACGGTCTCATCCGCTGTGCGAGGCGCTGATCTGAGCCGATCCCGCAGGTGGACGAGCCGGATGTAGCGACCTTGTGCTGGTGTGGTCACACGTGGCCGACGTGGATGAGGTCGATTTGCAGTACTGCTTGTCTGTTTGAAACGAACTCTCAAACGGCCTTTCGTCTGATAGGTATGTTATGTATGAGTATTTTGTGTATAGCACTGTATATCATTAGTAAAATGGAGATTTGTTAGACACTATTTAAATGCCTATTCTGACTGGTCAGCGATTTGTTTATTTTGGTTTTCATTTGGCACCCTCTGGTAGTATGACTGTAGAGAAACATGATCTGATGCAATACCACTTCTTTGTGAAGAAATAGACTAGTGCTTTCTAGAAGCTTCTGGCATCTTCCTGCCTGGAGGGGGCGGGATTACCCAGGAATCCTGTAGATCTTTCCAGAATATTGCTAGTCTATATAAATGCTGCGATTTTGGTCAGTAGAGGCAGAGTTTTTGTTTTGGCAACAGAGTTACATAGAGGCATTAAAGGTTTATTATAAGATTAAACAGTGGATTATTTGTAGAAGTTTTTTTTTATACCGGTGAAGAATAAATTTGTTTAAGTTGTCATTGCTGGTTTTCTTTGTTGTGATTTTTAAGTCATAACAAATTGGAGGTTCCACCGAGATAAAACATTCATTGGATCAACCATTGGATTCACCAAAGATCAAAGCTGAACTATTATTTTAAATCTTGTGACTATTTGAATAACCAGCAATCATGACTTTTGATGTTGAAAGTTTTTTGAAAACTCCAACCCAGGAATCAATTGTGATGGCAAAGAAGGACTTGCTGCAAATAGCCTCAACCCTTGGATTATCTGATGTGAAATCATCAATGAAGAAACAAGAAATATTCAACATTTTGGTGCGACATTTCATCGATGAAGATATCTTTGGGGAAGAAGCAGCAGAATTGATTAAAGATGTGGAAGTGCCTGCAACAGAGCTGCAAAGACTTGAATTTCAGCTACGCCTGAAAGAACTGGAAGAAAAAAGGTTGGAGAAGGAGAAAGAACTGGAAGAAAGAAGGTTGGAGAGGGAAGAAAGGAGGTTGGAGAAGGAGAGAGAACTGGAAGAAAGAAGGATGCACTTGCAGTACGAATTGGAAATGAAGAAAATAGAAGCAGGTACTGTTACAAAATCTTTTGGACTTTCTGATCATTTTGATGTGGTTAAACACATCAGACTTGTTCCTCCCTTCCTAGAAAATGATGTAGACCAATACTTTACCCATTTTGAAAAAATTACTGAAAGTTTGAAATGGCCAAAAGAGCATTGGACAATGATGTTATAAAGTGTTCTTACTGGTAAAGCTAGGAAAATCTATAACCAGTTATCTGTCCAACAGTGTTCTGATTATGATTTTGTCAAATCTGCCATTCTGAAGGGTTATGAATTGGTCCCCGAGGCTTATAGGCAAAAATTTTGGAATTCTCGCAAGGAAGCCAGTCAAACTCATGTTGATTTGGCAGGTTGAAGGAACAGTTGTTTGATCAGTGGTGTAATTCCATGAAAGTTGAGAAAGATTTTGACAGAATGAGGCAACTTATTTTGGTTGAGGAATTCAAAAGGTGTGTCCAGCCTGATATTAAGACTTTCCTTGAGGAGAAACAAGCCATTACTTTGCAAGATGTTTCCACCCTAGCTGATAGTTATGCATTGACTCATAAGTCTTCTTTTGTCCAAAAATCCACTTTTTCTAAATTTCAAGGCAAGTCTCAGTCCAAGGCTTCTTCTAATAACACTTCTAATGATTCTAAGGTCACTTCTGAGAGGAAACCTTCCAGTGAGAAGCAATCCTCTGATTCTTTACCTTCTGTGTCTTGCCAATACTGCAAAAAGCAAGGTCACCTTATTTCTGAGAGTTATGCTCTCAAGAAAAAACAACAACGAGAAGAAACCAAGCCAACTGCTTTCACTAAGAGAGAATCTCTTGTATCAAAGGTCAGTTCACCTGATCTTCTACCTTCTGTGTCTGATTCTGTTATGGAGGGTTTTGAGCCATTCATCACCGATGGTTTTGTCTCACTTTCACATGATTTTTCCTCATCTGCTCCTGTTCGAATTCTGAGGGATACTGGGTCTTCCCAATCTCTTATTCTTGCAGATATTCTGCCTTTTTCGGACAAAACGTCTACTCAGGCTAATGTCCTTATTCAAGGAGTAGAATGTGGTTTTACAAGCGTAACTCTCCATAATGTTCTTCTCAAATCAGACTTGGTCTCGGGACCTGTTACTGTTGGTGTTAGGTCTTCTCTTCCTCTCAAAGGTGTTCATTTGCTTCTTGGTAATGATCTTGCTGGGGATAAGGTTGTGCCCTACCCTGTTGTAACTGACACTCCTTTGATTGATCAAGAATCTGACTCTATAGAGGAGGAAATTCCAGACCTCTATCCTTCATGTGCAGTTACTCGTTCTATGGCCAAAAAGGCTACTCAAGATGATGCTAACCTGGACTTCAACCTCGCTGACACCTTCATTGGGCAGTCTTTTCATCAGGAACCTTCCAGTCCTGAGATGTCTGGGAAATCTTCAGACTTGTCCTTGTCAGGTCATTCTAATGACATTCTGTCTCGGAGACAACTTATTCAGGAGCAACAACAAGCTCGTGATCTAGCGCATCTTCTACCACAGGCTGCAAGTGAACAAGAGGCTACTCAAGTTCCTGTCTGTTTTTACAACAAAAATGGTGTGCTTATGAAAAAGTGGTGTCCACCTGATGTTTCTGCAGATGAAGAGTGGATGATTACCCATCAAATTGTTCTTCCAAAGTCTTATCATCAAGAAACTCTTAGTCTTGCCCATGATAATCCTATGTCAGGTCATTTGGGTATCAAGAAGACCCTTCAACATGTCAGGAATCATTTCTTCTGGCCTTCCATGAGGTCTGATGTACAGGAGTACTGCAAATCCCGTCATACTTGTCAAATGGTTGGGAAGCCGAACCAGAATATTCCAAAGGCTCGACTTAAGCCTATTCCCGCTTTTGAAGAAATTTTCAGTCGGATCATCATTGACTGTGTTGGACCATTGCTGAAGACTAGATCTGGTTGTGAGTACCTACTAACTATCATGTGTGCTTCCACCCGGTTTCCTGAGGCAATTCCACTTCGTAATATCAAGGTGAAGACTATCATCAAGGCTCTTACCAAGTTTTTCTGCTTTGTTGGTCTTCCTAAGTCTATTCAGTCTGATCAAGGGTCAAATTTCATGTCTGGCATATTTCAACAAGTTATGCATGAGCTTGGTATTAAACAATACAGGTCATCAGTTTACCATCCTGAGAGTCAAGGTGCTTTGGAGAGGTTCCATCAAACCCTGAAGAACATGATAAGGACCTACTGCCTTGACACAGAGAAAGACTGGGATGAAGGTGTCCATCTTCTTCTGTTTGCTGCCCGTGAAGCTGTTCAGGAGTCTCTTGGGTTCAGTCCTTTTGAGCTTGTTTTTGGGCATACAGTCCGTGGACCTCTGAAGCTTCTGAAGGAAAAGTTGCTGGCCGAAGATGATGTCCCAATGAACTTGCTTCAGTATGTCTCTGACTTCTGTAATCATCTCTCTAAGGCTTGTGACTTTGCTAAGTCTAATCTCAAAGAGGCTCAGGGCAAAATGAAAGCCAGATATGACCTTCATTCCCAAGATAGAAGTTTTAAAACTGGTGACAAAGTCCTTGTGCTTTTGCCAGTTCCCGGAAACCCTCTAAGAGCCCGATATTTCGACCCTTACGCTGTCCTCAAAAAGGTCAGTGATCTAACTTATGTCATTTTAACCCCTGAAAGGAGGAAACGAAAACAAATGTGTCACATCAACATGCT